GAGAGAGAGAGAGAGAGAGAGAGAGAGAGAGAGAGAGAGAGAGAGAGCGCCCAGTGGCTGAGCTATTGCCCTGCACACGCAGAACCCTGAGTTCATTCCTTAGTACAAGAAGAAAAAAATGAAGAGCCAAAAGGAAACACAATTGAAACATTGAAACATTTCACCCATTTAGAGAGTACAATTCAATGTTTTATTTGTTTGTGTGTATTTTCTCAATGGTCAAGTTTAGAACATTTAAATCATCTTGTAAAGAAACCTTTCCAAGGCAGGCTAGTGCACATCTTTAATCTCATCACTTGGGAGGCAGAGGCAGATAGATCTTTCTCACTGGTCTTCAGAGCAAATTTCAGGGCAGCCAGGGCTCCACAGAGAAACCCCATCTTGAAAAAACCAACCAACCAACCAACCAACCAACCAACCAACCAACCAACCAACCAACCAAAAAAACCCAGTATTATTATGCATGCACATGGAATGACGTGTGTGTGTTTATGTGCATTGTATGCACATGTGCATGTGCCTTTACCTGCTGAGTCATCTCACCAGCCCTGTCAGTTGGTTTTAAATTTAAATCACAAAGTATGCTTCCCTAAACTAAGCCCAGTTACCATTGTTGGCTCTTGGAGGTAATTATTTCATAATAAAAATATGTGTAGTGTATATTTATATATATTTATTCTTATAAAGGATCTCAGCATGTGATTCAGGCTGGAGCTCACCACGTAGTTTAATCTGCCCTTAAACTTGCATTCCTCCTTCCCCAGGCTCTCATGCAACATTAGCTGCAGTGTATAGTTTTTAAATGTATTCATGTGTGTCCAAGTGTGTCATCCTGGGGAACAATACCTTTTTGAAGACAGTACCTCACTGGCCTGTGGAGCTCAGCAGTTAGACTGGCTGGCCAGTGAGACTCGTGGATTGTTCTGTCTCTGCCTCTTCAGCACTGAGGTTACAAGTGTGATCCTATGCCCGGAAGATTTTTTATTTATTTATTTATTTATTTATTTATTTACTTTATGTATATGTATACACTGTAGCTGTCTTCAGACACACCAGAAGAGGGCATCAGATCCCATTACAGATGGTTATGAGCCACCATGTGGTTGCTAGGAATTGAACTCAGGACCTCTGGAAGAGCAGTCAGTGTTCTTAACCACCGAGCCATCTCTCCAGTCCAGTTTTTCTATGGACTGACCTGTCTCTCAGTTACTTGCAGTAGAGTTTTAAAAGGGCAATCCTATAAGCTAAGTTACCTGTAATCTCTAGAAAATCAAGTGATTAATATCCTCTTAAGGGAGTATGTTTCACAGACAATTTCAAAACAAATGTGTGAGAGACTGCAAACATGCCTGGATGGGCTCCAACTTCTGGGCTTGTCTGTCCCTCATCCATCTTGCCAAATGTCTGTGGCATCCTTCCTGTACCCCCAGTGTTCCAGATTCAACCTTGACTCACTCGTGAGCTGTTGTCCAGGTTCACAGAAGCAGTATTCCAGCCACTGCCCCCCCCACCCCGATGCTGTTTGACCAGTGGCCTCCCTTCGGTGCCCTTCACCTAGGGTCTCAGGACTCATTCAGTGTGCAGATGGCACTCCCGGTAAGCTAGTAAGAATCACCTGCAGTGAATGCCAGGAGAGTATGACTAATTCTAGGAAGAGTAAAGAAAGGCACTGGAGCTCCGGTCAGCAAATGGAAGCCCCAGCTCCTCTCCTTGGACCCTGGGAGCGAAGACAAGAAAACAAAGTCACTGCAGAGAACTAAGTGCTTGTGACTGAAGCAGTTCCCCAGTAGTCAGCATTAATCAGGGTAAACGTTAGAGTGGAATAATGTGGAATTCAATAGAAATGTATATTACATCCACTGGGAGCCAGATGACTTCATCACAGCTGATGTTCTTACAATGGATACAAAAGGAATTAATGGTTCACCAGGTCGGTCCCTTCCCCCCCCTTCCCCCAACACCTTTTCTTCAGCTTTAACAAACTGGTCTGGAGCCAACTGCGACATCAGTTTAGTAATGACTTTAAGCACCATTTCTGCTGCTATCATGGCAATTTAAATTGTCACTTTCTATTAAAAGGTCTACCTCAGAATGGTTTTAAGTGAAAGCGCTCCACACTGACAGTGCAATTAAACAAGAAAAAAATTCCTTTCTTGGGATGTCATTGCAAACACATTTTAAATAAGGGTTCAGCAGCGCCTTGCTAATTTAAACTATAGTATTGCTTTCTATTAAAGAACAGAAACTGAGTCGAGATTTCTCCCCATTTTCCTACTATGTGACACTTTGAATTGGCACCATGTCCCAGTCAAAGTCCTGATGCGCTTATGGGGTACCTGAATCTCAAATGTATCTCTCCTGAGGCAGGCATTAAACAGAAATGGTTTTCCCCGTGTGAAGGGGGCAGGTGTCACGTTGTCCGGGCATTTGCTTTTAAAATTGCCCTTTTCTGATCCAGCACACCCTCTCCTGCATGCTTCCCCTGACTACTCAGGGTGAGAAGTTTGAGTTGCAAGGTGGACTGCTTCACTAAGGTGATAACTCCCAGATTTTTTTTTAAAGGACAATTAGAAAGTGTAGTGTGGAAAATAATTCTGAGCAGAGGTGTGTTAGTCTTTCTGTCTTCTCCCTCTCTCTCCTAAGTTTCGATCTTCAGGCGGTTTGTCCATTTCCCCAACCTCTTCTTCAATTGAGCCAAGGAAAGACACTTCAGACACTTTAGTCTTTGAATGCATTTTAACACATAAATGGAAACAGAGTCCAAATGTTGAATGAGCCAGTACAAAATAACACGTTTTGCCCACCTCATTTGTCTTCTGGACTCCTGTAGCCCCAATAGTCCATAATTCCTAGGCATTTGGCTTAGATAGATTCCAGCTATCAGAGAGAATAACACAATTACATTCTTAGGTGTTGGTGCCTTAAATTAGAAGCTGAGGAATATTTGAACAGCAGGAATGGCGGGCATTTTATTTTAATGGTCTTGAAGTGTTTCCAGTCTTTCTGACAGAACTTTATGTCATGAGCAATAGCCCTGCTCTCAAGCACATTAGACCAGAAGTAAACGAGGCATAACACTTAAGTTGCTTCTGTTACGTTCTCAATTGGTATCGTTATTGCTCTGAAGGACACCGAGATAGCATCTTGAGAAAAGTGTCCCGATGATGGGTATCGAGACGCAATTTTTTATGTCTACACAATTACATTTCTCACTCTGCCATATTCCACACTTGACTGCCAGGAAAAAAAAAAAAAGATGATCGATGTAAACCCAGTCCTCACAAGAGTAATACATAAGCTGCTGGAATCGAAACTCATTTTATTTTACAAATTAGGCAAACTTTCTTGCAGTTCCATTCTCATTTTCTTCTTTTCTGTTAACATAACAGGCATTTGTATTTAACCCGAGGGCAGGTGGAAACAGAAAAAAAAAATGGCCTGTTGATTTGGGGACTGATGGGGGTCAGGAAAGAGTCACCTCAAAAAGAAGTATTACCTCTAGAAAAGTAGAGGTGGAGGGAGAAGAGAGGCCACAGAAACTTTCTTTGCAATGAAGAACATGGAAAATGGAGAAATCAATAAAAAATGTGGAGCAGGACATATGAAAAAGTACGTACAAGGGAGTAAGGACAGCTTTTGTCTTTACTTTTGTTAGTTGGCTTCAAAGGACAGGAATCTCCTCTGTTGGGAAGTTGGGAGGGGAGGTGCTGCTGGGCTGGGAACTTCAGTAGAGTCCTTGTTTGACCTTGTTTAACTTCCGGGTGGCAATCAGCACCTCTCTCCTTTGCTTGTGGCTGCAGCCCTCCAACTGTGGCTTCTGTGTATATACAGCCTCCTGTGTGTGTGTGTGTGTGTGTGTGCGCGCGCGCGCGCGCGCACGCACACAAGTGCATGTATGCCCCCTCTCCTCTTTTTTATTCGTTTCCGGTGCTGGGGACTTTTTGCTTGTTAGGCAAGCACTCTCTCTGCTAGTGAACCGCATTCCCAGCCCCAGGCAAAGGCTTTTCCTTCCCTTCCCTTCCTTCTC